CAGCCGCCCGCCCGCCTCACCCGATCTCGTCGGCGCCTCCCACGTTGTTCATGGCGGCGGCTCCAGGCAGCGTCCGGGCCGGGCCCGGCTCCCTCAGGCCCAGGCGGCGGCAGCAGCGGAAGGTCACGGGCTCCGCTTCCCTCCCGAGCTGCGCAACGGCGGCTCCGGCCCCCTCTTCCCCTCAGCGCCGCCCGCCAACCGCCGCTGCGCGTGCACCCTGGCCTCGCTACGGGGTCTCCGGGACCGCGCCCAACGAGCGGGTGAGGGGAAAGGGGGAGCGCGCCTGCGCGGCAGGCGCAGGGCCGCACGGGAAACGTAGTCCAGCGCCGGCTGGCTAACACGTGGTGCAGTCCCGCGGCAGCCATGCGGAGTCGAGCCGGCAGGAGGGAGCGAGAGGGCAGTGCGTGCGAGAAAGAGAGGCCGTGTGGGTGCTAAGGAGCGGACGCGTGAGAGAGCCCATGAGCGAATGCATAAGATTTAGCGTGTGAAAGGGAATGGGAGGGTGGCAGGAAAGTTGTTTGCAAGTGAGGCCTGGTCTACACTTAAATATAAAAATTGACCAGGGACATGAAAAAAATTGCATAATAAGGTCCTAGTTTGTCAACACTGGGGATGAGATTGACCTCAGCTAGTTTTCTGTCAGCCTATCTCCAGCCTCTCAGAGGGGTGGATTAACTCTATCAATGGAAAACCCCCTTCGGTCTGTGTAGGAAGCGTCTGTGGTACAGCGCCATAGCTTGCAGTGTAGATGCAGTCAGAGTGTGTGCATAGCATGGTGTGTACAGCCTGGGGGCTGGGTATGTGAGACAGAGGTGCTCTTGGGTGTTTAGTAAGGTGTGAGTGTGCCTATGGCTTTGCCTAGACTAGGGCCTGGTATACACACAGTTTTTGTGCTGGTATCATGATGTCACAGAGGGATGTGATTTTTAACCAAAATAGTTATACCACTACAACCCCTAGTGTGAACAGTTACACTGGTATAATGGTGCCTCACACTGATACAGCTTATCCCTCTTCCTGTAAGGAAAAAGCTATACCTGTATAAGCACATTTATACCGATATATCTAGCCACACTACTGAGGTTATACCACTTTGCCCATCCACTACAGTTAAAGCAGTACAACTTTTGTGCGTAGACAAGCCTTAGGAAAAACAGTACTTTTTTAGGCCTGGTCTACACTACAGGGTTAGGTTGATGTAAGCAGCCCTGCATCAACCTAGCTTTGGAAGTGTCTTCAGTTAAATTTGGCTCCTGCCAAGGTAAGTGCCTCTGTACGCTGATTTAGTAACGTCACCTTCCCAAGTGGCATACAGTCACAGTCAATGTAGTTAGGTTGACGCAGTGTCAGTGTCGATCGTGTGTTGCTTACCAATTGTTCCTGGCTTTCAGGAGCCATCCCACAATGCTCTACACTGACAGTACAATTGATATAAGCGCTCCTGGTGAGGACGTGCACCACGGACACAAGGAGCCAAGTGTGCGCACGCACACGAGTGATTTGATGACTGCAGTGGCTGTATGCTGACGTAAGTTAGGTCGACATAATTTCATAGTGCAGACATCTCCTTAATCGTTAGAGTTTAGCTAACTCCATGGAACTAATGTGATTGAAAAAAGCACCCTTTTTCCTATGCCTGATTTACACGTAAAAAGTTTTACCAGCATCAGTGGAATCTGTGAACTATGTCAGTAGTGTAATACTTTGCCAACATATCAGAGGGGTAGCCGTGTTAGTCTGGGTCTGTAAAAAGCAACAGAGAGTCCTGTGGCACCTTATAGACTAACAGACGTATTGGAGCATAAGCTTTCAAGGGTGCCAATAAAAGCCCTACTGTAGATACAGCTATACCGGTATAAGCACTTTTGTACGGGTATAACTGTATCTACGCTACGGTTTTTTTGCCGCTTTGAGGTTCAGTCTGCATTTAGCAGCTGCCCCACTGCTGAGCTTCAGTGTAGACACTCGCTACAGCAGAGTCACTGCAGTTAAACCGACCTAGCGCTGTCTACACCGGGGACTGGATCGGCTTAACTACTTGACCAGGGTGTGGATTTTCCACAGCCCTGAGAGACGTTGCAATGTCAATGTAAGTTTTCTGCGTAGACCAGCCCTAACTAAGCCAGCATAGTTAAACCAGCAAAACTTTGAAATGTAGGCAAGGCCTGAGGCCTGGTCTACCCTAGGAAATTAGGTTGGTATAACTACATAGCTCAGGGGTGTGAAAAATCCACGCAGTTAAACCGACCTAACCCCTGGGGTAGACAGTGCGAGGGCGACAGGAGAATTCCTCCATCGACCAATCTATGCCGATGGGAGAACTCCTCCCAGTGGCGTAGATCATGTCTTCACTGAAGCAGTACAGCAGCGCAGCTGCAGGGTTTTAAGTGTAGACAAGCCTTAAGTCCATACAAGACCTCTATGTGCAGCATCCACAGGTGCATGGATAGTTTCTGTTTGTGTGCAGCACAAGGGAAAAGCATAAGTCAATGAGATTGTAACAGGCAGCGAGTGGTTTTATTTCAATGTCAGAAGGATACCTAGCCCTTGTTAACTAGTATGATGTAGTTTTGTATTTATATAGCACCATTGCTGTATATTAGTCCTCTAGCAGTCTGGGAGCATGATGATTCTGTAGATTTCTATGAATCACATAACACCCCCTCTTCCCTTTCTATCACTAATTTGCCCATGGGATTACACATGCTCCCAGACTGTAGAGGGCAGGAAAGGCAAATTAATCCCATATGTTGCACAGTTTGGGAGTGGAGTTTTCTTTCTGCAGATTTATTTTTACCCAGGTGTCTGATCTTTCTGGCATGCACCTGCCACATCTCGTTCTTCGGGAGGAAAACATCCTAATGTTGGATTAAGTCTAAGGCAGTTTTATTTGAAAACCTCTCCCTATTGGGAGGAAGGATTTTGCTTATGTGGGTTTCAATGCGACATTTAAAATCTCACACTTGAGGTGAAAAGCAACAGAGGGTCCTGTGGCACCTTTAAGACTAACAGAAGTATTGGGAGCATAAGCTTTCGTGGGTAAGAACCTCACTTCTTCAGATGCAAGTAATGGAAATCTCCAGAGGCAGGTATAAATCAGTATGGAGATAACGAGGTTAGTTCAATCAGGGAGGGTGAAGGTGCTCTGCTAGCAGTTGAGGTGTGAACACCAAGGGAGGAGAAACTGCTTCTGTAGTTGGATAGCCATTCACAGTCTTTGTTTAATCCTGATCTGATGGTGTCAAATTTGCAAAGGAACCGGAGCTCAGCAGTTTCTCTTTGGAGTCTGGTCCTGAAGTTTTTTTGCTGTAAGATGGCTACCTTTACATCTGCTATTGTGTGGCTAGGGAGGTTGAAGTGTTCTCCTACAGGGTTTTGTATATTGCCATTCCTGATATCTGATTTGTGGCCGTTGAACCACTTGCGCTTTGT